TTCAAAAAAAAAAAATTCGAGTGGACCCCATCCGTCACACAAAAAGTGAAGATTGTAGGTCCCGCATACAACCCAAGCCTTCGATTGTTGTGGTTTCCTCGTTTCGGGCTCAAAATTTCAATTTTCTGACTTTTCTAAAAACATAAATCGAGTTATTCCGATTTAGTTTATGTCGAAACTCGTATAATAATGCATATTAGATGTCTTGAATGTGTTTCCACGTTGTTTTGTGTTTTGTTTGCGATTAAATTTGTATGTTATTTATATCCGGGTTAAATTATTAGTGTTTAAAAAAAATCGTTAAAAGTTGAGAAATAATTTTTTTGTTAATAAAAATGTTCATAAATTCTTTTACTGTTTTATATATAATTTCGTGAATGTTATGTTATTAAAATTTTGTTGTTTTTATTTAGTTTAGATTATTTATTTGCTTAAAGAATAGTGCCCTTATAGCGTAGTAAAATATAGAGTCTTATAGCGTAGTAAAATATATAGCATTTTAGCGTAGTAAAATATAGAGCATTTTAGCGTAGTAAAATATAGAGCATTTTAGCGTAGATTCTTTGTAGTTTAAGTATCTACTAACTACAAATTCTATCCAATTACACTTTACAAAAATTAATTATTTAATTTATAAAACAAACACACAGAACTAACAAATTAATATATGCTGTCAAATTAAATATCGAGCCTGAAATCCATAGATATATACTCTGTCCAATTAAAAATTAATTATCTAATTTATAAAACTAACAAAATTTTAAAAATATTGAAATTGACACATAAGAATTCAGGATAGCTTGGTGCTACTGGGCCTCAAATATCGAGCCTGGATCCCATAGATATATACTCCGTCCAATTAAATAACTAAATATTAATTATTATAACACTAACAAATTCTAAAAATATTGAAATTGACACATATAAGAATTCAGGATAGCTTGGTGCTACTGGACCTCAAATATCGAGCCTGGAACCCATAGATATATACTCTGTCCAATTAAATAATTAAATATTTAATTTATAAAACTAACAAAATTCTAAAAATATTGAAATTAACACACATAAGAATTTAGAATAGCTTGGTGCTACTGGATCCCAAATATCGAGCCTAGAACCCATAGATATATATTATATCCAATTAAATAATTAAATATTAATTATTATAACACAAATAAAATTCTAAAAATATTAAAATTGACACACATAAGAATTCAGGATAGTTTGGTGCTACTGGGCCTCAAATATCGAGCATGAAACCCATAGATATATACTCTATCCAATTAAATAATTAAATATTTAATTTATAAAACTAACACATAATTAATGTTATTTAATGTACAATAGATGACATGGACGTGCCACCTATGCATCCTGGACCTTTCTCAGATGAGATATTAGTGTTACAGGGCGATCATAGGTCCGCCTACATAAAGGAGAGCTAGTGGAGCAGACTCTCCGCGCCAGGAGAGTGGACGACGTGTGGGACTTTATGAGGGAGAGAGGTTTCCATTACCGCGTAGTCCAGCGCCTGCGTGATACGGGATTCTATAGGATTTTTGAGATTGGGCGGTTGCAGCTCGACTGGTCTCTCATCACGGCGTTGATAGAGCGGTGGCGACCGGAGACGCACACTTTCCATCTGCCCATTGGCGAGACCACCATCACGCTTCAGGATGTTGAGGTTTTATATGGGTTGCCTGCTAATGGAATGGTCGTTGCACTGCCTCAGTATATGAGATCTATGACGCGTGCCCAGTATTTGAACTTGCTGCAGCAGTTCACTAGTTTCAGGCCATAGGGTGAGGCTGCAGCTTCAGGGAGCAGTCGCATTTCTGTGACAGCTATTAGACAACATTTGGAGGTATTGCACCCCGACATCACCGACGAGACATATGTTCTACATATTCACCGGCACGAGGTTGGCGCTACTCCTTCTTTTTGGGGGTATCTTGTTCCCGAACACTTCAGAAAATCTAGTGAGTATGCGATTTCTACATCATCTTCAGTAGCTAGATGAGTTACCCCAGTACAGCTGGGGTGCTGCTGTTCTCGCTTACTTTTACAGGAGTATTTGTCGGGCTAGCATGGGCATCCAGAGCGACGTATGTGGTTTTTTGCCGCTTCTACAGGTGATAACATATTCGAATACTCTGTTCATTACTTCCAATTCTATACAGTCAAAATGACTCTTAAATTTTATGTCGACCTTGTATGTTAGGTTTGGGCCTGAGAGCGGTTCATGCCGTTGCAGTCACCTCTACCACCATTACCTCCGGATGTAGCACCTCCATTTCTCTCTCTAGCTAGGAGGTGGGTTCTCCGGCGTGGAAATTACCAAGCCATTGATGCTCATCATATCTCCCACTTGTCAGGGATATGTTGGATATGCTGGAGGCCGCACAGGTAAATATGTACCTAAATTTACTTGTTATAATTCACTTGTGTTACGCATACTCACTTTTATGTTATTATTTGATAGTTCATCTGGACGCCATACATCGACGACTTGATAGCTGGCCTGCCCGATTATTGCTCGGTTGAATGACTGATTTGGAGCACTTTCGTCCCGCTGATGTGCCTCGATATTGTGGAGCATCATGCCATAGAGCGGGTACTTCGCCAGTTTGACCTTCCACAGACTATACCGAGGGAGCCTACACATTATCAACGGGATGATCGTTAGAGGGCGGACGACGCATTTGTAGCATGGCTAGAGGCGTAGGTCCATACTTGGGACCAACGAGAGGACCTGATTCCGCCCCCACCTTCACAGATCCAGGAGCCGACTATTGAGATTTATACATACCGGTACCATCGCGTTACTCGACTGATGATCGGGAACCCCGTTCATCAAGCTGGCGGTCGGTACAAACCATACGCCGGGAGGCACGAGGTACTGGTATGTTTTTTTGGAACCCATACTTATAATTGTGATATAGCGTTCTGTAATTAATATTTTAAATGTTGTGCAGGCTATTGGTCATCATTTATTCTACCGATTAGGACTGCAGATGCAGCAACATGCCGATAATCCTGTAGTCACTGAGTATGGCCGACATGTGGTAGAGCTGGCTCTCCGGACACTGCAGCGAGCCAGAGAGGACGAGAGGTTAGATTACGCTGCTGAGTATGTGGCGCCAAAGCACCAAGGCAATGTGATGATGATGATCCTGATAGTGTACCCGGGCGACAGGGGATGCGCCTCAGGCCAGCGGCTGCATTGAAGCACATAGGCTGTGGGACACATTGATTTTTCTTTTGTATTTTATGTAAATAATACATTATGTAAATAATAACAAGAATGTTACTTTAACAACAATTTTATTTTAACACAATTTGAACAACAATTTTATTTTAACACTACAACACAAACACAAATATAGCAAACCTAACATAGCATAAATGCAGTACAACTAATAAAAACACATGACGCGGGAAACATAAAGATACACTACTACGCTGAACACGTACATATCATTGTTTAGTCACGACCGTCTAGTATTCTCTGCTCCAACCACTTAAATTTGTCTTCCAGCTTATTTTTTTCTTCTTCCACCTCCTTGAGTTTCTCCTTCAACTCCGCAACTTCTCGTTTGGATTGTCGCTCTCTTTCCCACTGCTTCAAACACAAACAATGAAGAGACTACAACTTGTCTTTGTAGTATTCCTGCTGACAAAGTTCATCAATTCATACCTCAAAATTGCAAACAGGTTCGTCGGGAACCCTATAAAACTTGTTCATACACGCCTAGTAGCGACATCCAGCTTCTTCCCAACAATCATGCATCATGCATTTTTTGCCGCATTCGCACCTTGGGACATAAAGGGGTTGAGACATTTGTTAAAGCGTAAAGAAAAACCTTGCTTTTATGGAAATATTTGCTATTGGTTATTGTTAAGCGCAGAAAATAACTATAATGCGCCCGTTATTTATAAGCAAGAGAACACACAAAACGTAGTATTGTACCGCACTATACATATTCAATTTTTCTAAAACGAAACAACTTTTGTGTAGTCGGTCAGCTTTTTAGACCGACAAGACAACACACAAAACGTAGTATTTGTGAGCACGTGATTTTTGCCTCGCATGAATTACTCCTACAGAATCTAAAAAATTAGGATTTTTCCTTTTATTATTTGGTTTTTAGGAATTAATTGCTCAATTTTTGTGTTTGTTTACATTTTGTGTGCATAATTAATTTTATTTAAATCATGAAAAATAGCAACAATATCACGCACTACATTTAGGAGTTAATGTTACATTTTTTAGATTAATTAGTAAATTAGTTTGTTTTATAAAATATTAAAATCACAAAAAA